GGCGCCTGTGGTCCCAGCTACTTGGGAGGTGGAGGCAGGGACTCGCTTGAGCCCAGGAGTTGGAGGTTGCTGTGAGCTGTGAAGCCACGGCACTCTACCCAGGGGGATAGCTTGAGGCTCTGTCTCAAAAAAAAGGAAGTCACAAAGATAACCACCTTATGTAGAGTAAACCTGGAGTGAATCTTGGATTCAAACAGAGAGCTATAATAGACATTTTGGGGGCAATTAAGGAAATTGGAATATGATGTGGAAAATACAAAATTATTGTCTTATTTTTTTATGTGTGATAATGACGTTGTGGTTATGTGTGTCTATTCATGCTGAATTATTTAAGGGTAGAGTGTAAATGTGACTTTCAAATGACTTTGCACCCCCTGCCCTCCCAGAGTGTGGGATTTCTTTTTTTATATGTGGGTGTGTATGTGTAAGTGTGTAATTGGGGGCGGGGGAGTAAATATGGCAAAATACCCAATGGTGGAGGGTATACAGAGATTTATTACACTGACTTCTTAATGTTTCTGCTCATTTGAATTCTTAAAAAGTAACAAAAAGGGAAAAAACTTACTGTAACAATGTACTGAAGTTTTTTGCTTAATTTTTTTTTTTGTTATTGGTCAAATCCAGTGTATTAGTAAACAATAATTTATATGGTTTTATGTTTGAGGTAATTTGGGGAAACCATGAGGAGAGGGATTGCCAAAAAGGGTTTTATAAGAAGAATGGACAATAGTCCACTATGTCTTTCTGCCTTTTGCTTGGATTGCACTTGAGATCTTGGCCATAGAGAGGAACTATTTCACCTAACTGTAATTCTTTAGCAGCCTCAATTTTCTCACCTGTGTCCTCTGTTAGTATTTCATGATGAGACACATTACAAATACAGTTATTCCTCACTTGATAGCAGTGAGATTACAGATACCTTTCTAATTAAAGTAAGCCATATTTTCCTGATGATTTATTTCAAAAACGTGGTTGTGAGAAGGAATTTTTGCTGTGGTATTTTGCATATAATAAGATCCCCACAATCTGATATCCATTATGTACACATTGGTAGAAAGTTCACAGTAGGACTTTCCTGATAAGGGACTGAGGGGCAATTTTAGCAGTGGTGAAATGTGTCTAAGAGATGCAGGAAAGTGAATGCTGAAATTTCCTTTAGTTCTGAGACTTGTGACTTCTTTGTTTTTTGGTGCCTAGAATTAGGTGGCTGCTTTTGTTCCCCCCTCTTTTGTGCAGCAGGTGTTTCTTGGAGTTGAACAAATTATAGGAATTTACGATCTTTCAAACATTGGGGAGCCTCTGATAGAGGCTTTAGGTTTCCATTTGTTTTAATGGCAAGGGACATCATTTAAATGAAGCATAAACTTATTGTCACATTTACTCTATTCAGATATTTTTCCCATTTTTTCAAAGGTCAGAGACTGATTTGTATACAGACAGATTGGAAATAATAGAAAAGTGTATCTTGCTAGCTTTAGTTGAACCATAGGATTTCCAGCAATGGAGTATTAGAGCCATATACCTTTCTTCTAAGCCATTAAGTTAATTCTCAGTTCTCTTTAGTCCCCTAGGTTAAAGAGCAAGTGTATGGGAGGATTGCAGCCTCCCATTCAGTATGAAGATGTTCATACCAACCCAGATCAGGACTGCTGCCTATTGCAGGTCACCACCCTCAACTTCATCTTTATTCCAATTGTCATGGGAATGATATTTACTCTGGTAAGTATAGACTCAGGATGTCATCTTCAGTTCTTTTGTAGACTCACATATATATGATTTGGCAGACTTACACATTTAACCATTAAGGAAGAAAACTTTGAAGTATAATAAAAATAAGTCTGAAATCAGTCATGTGTATTAGGAACAGATAGATTTGTGGTGATGTTAAGATCTGAGAATATTTTTACCTCTGTTAACTTCTCTGTAGGATAGGGAGTGTTTTTGTGTTTTCATGTGTAGTGATCATTAATGATTGAGAAATATTATCATGTTAGGAATAATGATGAGTCATACATGATCACTGTATGTCAGGACCTTAAGGCATGCATGTGGGGTCATAAATGGGATAGTAAAATATAGCATGATCTGCTCAGCTCTGTCCTTTGTGTGTGATGCTGTCACTCTTCAAGACCTGGCTAGAATTAGATTAGTAAACCATATATGTGTCTCTGCTATATATTTTTTCTAGGTTTTAAAAAATTTTAATTGGATTGGCAACTGGAGTATTCCTGTAATTATCTTTTCTGTGTCTTAAGTTTATATTCAGAGATACATAGGGTTCCCCTTTCATAATGAAAATAGTTTTTTTAATGGTAAAATAAAAAAAGTAAAGAAATTAAGTAATGCATAAATATATTGAGAAAGTAAAGGTGACTATCCTATGATTGCAATTAATCTTTTGGGAACTGTTCTTCTAATTTGTCTGTTAATATGTTTACATATCTTTTTGGGGGGGACAGAGTCTCACTATGTCACCCTGGGTAGAGTGCTGTAGCGTCACAGCTCACAGCAACCTCAGACTCTTGGGCTTGAGCAATTCTCTTGCCTCAGCCTCCCAAGTAGTTGAGATTACAGGCGCCTACTACAAAGCCTGGCCATTATTTTTTTTTGTTGTTGTAATTGTCATTGTTGTTTGGCAGGCTGTGGCTGGGTTTGAACCCCCCTGTCCTGGTGTATATGGCTGATGTTGAGCTACAGATGCCAAGCCATATTAACTCTTTCAATTACTTTTGTATAATTAAGATTATACGCAGTTTTTATTATAGGCAACTCTCTCCTCCAAGTAAAGCCATACTCATACAATTCTACATTGATCCATCTACCTACATACACACGCACATATACACTTAGAGATTTTGTATTGTATTTCATAAAAAATTGGATCATATTTATGTTTCATGTATCTTGTTTGACTTGCAGTATCTCATCATAATCCCTTTCAGCTGTCTCTTACTGCTCCAACCAAATTTTAAAAAAATTGTCTCTGATGGTAGTCTGTGTACATGTATCTTGATTTATTCTCCATTTATGAGGCTTTCTTTAGTATAGTTTAAATATATGAAGGTGAGGAGACCTTATAAAATTATCTTTTTTTGTATCTTTACACAGGTATTGGTGTTGTAACTTAGAGATTAGTCTTGGGGTCTAGCAAGTATAAATTATGTCTGGGCTGTTTCATTTTAGCATGAGATGCTGGAAGCCAAGGTCATGTGAGTCAGATACTGAATTTGCTTTTCCTTTTCAGTTTACTATCAATGTGAGCACGGACATGAGGCATCATCGAGTGAGACTAGTATTCCAAGATTCTCCTGTCCATGGTGGTCAGAAACTGCGTAGTGAACAGGGTGTACAAGTCATCTTGGACCCAGTGCACAGTGTTCGACTCTTTGACTGGTGGCATCCTCAGTATCCATTCTCCCTGAGAGCATAGTTACTGCTTCCCATCGCTTGGGTGCATCCCTGAGTCTAGTCCATTAGTAATCAGATACCAGTTTGAAAGGGGCAGCTGGATTATATATCTGATTAGTAATGCACATGCTCTTCAGGCTCCTGGGGCTCTTGTTAGGGGAGGGAGAAATGTTGAATCAAGAGGAAAAACAACTATGATTTGTAAACATATTTTAATGTAAAAATTTGCATTTGAAAGAAGTGGCTCTGGTTTCTGTGTTAAAACCCCATTTGGTGCTATTGAGTTTGTTTTTCTTTATTCTTTTATCCCAGAGAAAATGGTTGATCTTGCTCTAGGGAAAAATTAAACTTTAAAATCTCCAAACAAGGATGTTTCAGCATTCCCTTATGGATCAGAGGAACTTTAGAAGCCTGAAATTGTTGCTACTATTGCTTCCGATTTAGCTGCCCCTCAAATTCAAGTATCTTCTTTCCACTCTACTCCAGAAATAAAGCAGGTGACAGGGTTTTCAGAGTCTTATAAGATTAACTTGTGTATCTTTTTTTAAAAAATAATTTTTTGGATATTTATTGCATACATATTCTTTTGCCAGTTTTGAATTGTAGGGTTTTTTTTGCATGAGGCTGATAGTGGTGATGATGACTTTGTACTCTTGGTACTATACTAGGAACTTTACATAGTATCTCTATTCTCAATCTTGCAAGGTAGGTGATACCATTATGATTTTATGGTTGAGAAAACTGAATTAGTGACTGTACTCATAACAACAGTAAATGCGGAACCAGGATCCCAAACCAGCTCTTTTTGTTAAACCACAATTTAAAAGATCAGTCTCATTTTTCTTGTGGTAGATGGTGGTAAAAAGGAGGAGGCGGCAGAATGTACGTACATACATAAATAAAAAACTAAAAGGGTGAGTAAAAATTTGATTGTGGTATACTTTATCCCTAATCAGCCAAAAAAGTATATATGATTGATAAAAGAATCTTTTAAATATGTATTTCTAAATTACATGTAAAACAAACCAAGAAAGTGATTTCAAAATAGTGGTACTTTCATTGAATTGTTAGGCGTTTATTTTGTTGAAAGTCATTAAAAAAATGCATTGCATGTTGAAACCAGCCTCTTGACCCATAAGCACTTAGTGACTTTTCCCTGTTTCTGCTGTGTACATATAGAAACCTGGCCTTTCATCCATGCAGAAATGCTAGTGTCCTCTTGTTGGCCAAATGACTTACTGTACCTTGTGTACCCAGAGAAGAGGATCATAGGTGTTTTTTTTGTTTGCTAAGAAAAAACACCCATAAGTTGGGTGTTTGCCCTTGCTGTTTGTCCCTCTTCCCACCCCTCCCCCCCAAATTAACCAGTGAGCAGTTGGATATTGCCAGAAGGTGGGCAATAAGACAGTATTTTTTTTTTTTTTTTGAGATAGAGTCTCCTTATGTTGCCCTTGGTAGAGTGCTATGGCGTCACTGCTCACAGCAACCTCAAACTTTTGGGCTCAAGTGATTCTCTTGCCTCAGCCTCCCAAGTAGCTGGGACTACAGGTGCCTGCCACAGTGCTTGGCTATTGTTTGTTGTTGTTGTCGTCATCGTTTTTTAGCAGGCTCAGGCCAGGTTCAAACCTGTCATCCCCAAACCTGTCCGCTCCAGTGTATGTGGCCGGTGGCCTACCCACTGAGCTATGGGCGCTAAGCCTAAGACAGTATTCTTGAAAAAGGAAAATCTTGTTAAGAAGTTTACTGTGAACCAAACTGCTAAATTAGCTTGTTATTTTTCCTTACTATCTTCCCTATCCTCTGCTATTTAAAGAATATTCATCTGCTTGATACTGCTGCTAACAGCTAACCTTGCCCCACATTGAGGGCGGTATTAAAGCTGTTCATACAGAATGTGTGACTGGGTCAGTCAGAAAACAGAATTTGGATATTTAAATGATAAAAACAAAAACCCTAAGGACAATAAACACCTTGCAGATCTCTATAATCAAAGGTTGCTTCTCTGAGGTGGAGAAGAGAAGAACAAAGTCCTTAGTTCCCTGAACTAAAGATGCCATGGAGCAGGATAGCAGATGCCACTGGTGCGTCGTGTATCTCCCAATTAAGAGTTACCTTTAAAAAGGGGGTGAAATAAATTTGGTTGATAATTGTATTTTGACTCAACTCTTGAGTTTTTGTGTCAGACTCCTTGGTATGATGACAGATACAGTCATTGCTCAGTTAGGGATTGCTTCAGTTCTCTGTTAGCATAATATTGCCAAACACTTGGTAAAGTGTGTTATCAGTGGTTATCATGGCTTCAGCCTTCCTCTGCATTGGCTTAGTTGCCTTGTTTAGCATGATTCATATTAAGGGAAATTCAATTAGTGAAAGGATGTGAAGTGTCTCAGGGATTTCCTTTTAGTGAGAACTCTGGACCACTAAGAGTTGGAACTTACTGGACCACAGGTTAAGAACTTCCTTAAATACATACCATGATTTTGCTCTGAAGGTCAAACAAAATACAGTTGACTCTGGAACAATGCAGGATTTAGAGTGCAGACCCCTGTGTAGTTGAAAATCTGAGTATAACTTTTAACTTCTCCAAAACTTACAGTAGCCTACTGTTGATTGGAAGCTTTACTGATAATATAAACAGTGGATTAACACATATTTTGTATGTTGTATTGTAATCTGATTTGTTTTTTTTTTTTGAGACAGAGTCTCATTATGTCACCCTTGGTAGAGTACCATGGCATCACAGCTCACAGCAACCTCAACCTTTTGGGCTTAAGCAATTCTCTTGCCTCAGCCTTCCAAAGTAGTTGGAACTACAGGCACCTGCCACAATGCCCAGCTATCTTTTGGTTGCAGTTGTCATTGTTTAGCAGGCCCTGGCCAGGTTTGAACCACCAGCCCCCATGCATGTGGCTGGTGCCCTAACCACTGAACTATAGGTGCTGAGCCTATACTCTGAATTCTTAACAGTAAAGTAAGCCAAGGAAAAGAAGAAAATTGTAAGAAAGAGAAAGTGAGGCTCGGCGCCTGTGGCTCAAGTGGCTAAGGCGC